CGCCTCGGAGTCCCGGAGAAGCGGGAGTTGCCATGGCAACGCGGCCCGCCCTTCCCCGCCTCCTCAGAAGCCTCCGCGGCTCCTCAAGTGCTGTGGCGGCCGGGAAGAGTTTCCCCCCTGCATTTCGGACGCCCCGCTTTCATTAAGCGCGCGACTCGAGGAGCCTCCACACAGATTTACCTTGTCACAGACGCCTACAGCGAAGCAAAGGAGCTGGCAGGGCTCGGCCCTCGCGTGGAAGCTTGTGCGGGAGCCACAGGTGCTGCGAGGGAGGAGGTGGACCTGAGGTGGCCAAGACACGGTGTGGCCGCTCCTCTCAGGGCAGCCCTTGCTGCCGAGATGTTTTCGCTGTCAGTTCTCCAAAGTCAGGCTGGAGCCTTGCAGAGCACCTTGTCCTTAGCAAGCATCAACCCCAGTGAACAGAATACCACAGAAAGCAGAGGTTTCCTTAGGAGACATGAAAAATTACTGACATGAAAACAGGGTAGATCTGTTCCCTCTCTTTGCTCCTCTCCCTGCCTCCCATCCCCACACCAGCTCTGGTTTTCAGGGAAGTGACCAAGCCTGACAAAGTATTTGGGTTTTTTGGTACTTGGTTTTTTTTTTGTTTGTTTGTTTTTCCTGGCAGCTGGATGAGCTCAACTTGTTCACAAAGGGACAAATAAAGCACTAGAATCATCTGAAGGCAGCAGGTGAGCTCACCCTCTTGAGCAGCAGTGAAAGCTGTTACACCAGCTCAGACAGCCTAAGTACGGACTCTTGCTTCACAGACACCATTAAACCAGTCAAAGCTGATTTCACCTGCTTCAGAGCACCCCTAGAAACAGAAACAGGGTGTTGATGCACTCAGCAGTGGCCAAATTCCACCCTCCAACTAGAGAAAAATCTAAAAGGACAGGCTGAAGAGGTGCCTGGTGATGAATATTATGCCATGCACACACTGAGGGATGTGATCAACTTTGGGAGCAGAGGGCTTATAGTACCCCCTCTCCCATGAGACTGCTTGGCTGGCCCTCTGGTATAGGTTATCGGTTTTGTATTTTGCAGTTCAAGTTGGGTTTTAATTAATGATCGACTTTTTAGTCTTGCTTTTTCTCCAATCCTTAAAAAAAGGATGATTCTTATGTAAGAGGTCATTCTTACACTTGAGGACAAAATCCAGTAAGTTGGAAAAACACAAATAACCCCCAAATACTTTAATACAAATTCCAACATATACACACACCAAAATACACCTCTGTACTATTTAGACCTGTGAAGTGGCTAATTTCTGTAATTTTGGTGTTGATTTTCAATGGAATCACAGCAGCAGGATCTGCTGTTGATGGCAAGGAAGTGAGTCTCTCTGAGACTGAAGAGTAAGGTGCAAACTACCCCCCCCCCCGCTGACTTTCTTGCATTTCTGACTGGGATTAGTTTAGTGTATTTCATAAACTTTATATGGAAGAGACACATAATCCACACATTGAAAGGGAAAAGCAAGAATCCACAAAACAGCTTATGCAGAAAAAAGGAATTAAAGTGGTGTTAAACACAGCAATCCCGTATACTGGGACTTGGCTTCATGTGCAGCTGAGCTCATTGCACATGGCTCATTGCTGCCAGAAAGGGAAATTCTCTGTTGCCCTCTTGCCCTCACTGCTTCTGTCACCCACTTCACATCTGGAATTAGAATGTGGAGAGTCCCCAAATGCCAAAGCTGGCACAGGCACAGAACTCTGTAACACAATGCCTCCTATCTTATGACTAAGCCTACGCTACTTAGTGTCAGGAACAGAGCTAGCCCCAAAACAAGGAGAGCAGTAGATTAACCCTAATGAGGATCAAAACTGTTAGGGGACAGACATTTAATTTCTATCTTCATTCCGCTGAGCTCTTTAAGAGTTTATCTGGATATTTACCTGTATGAGCACACATGCTTCCCTTTCTTTCTTTTTCACCAAGTATCTATCAAACATCAGGACCTGGCCATAAAAGCAACTCCAAAGCCAGCACTGCTGTTCTGGGCTGTAACGATGGTTCATCTGAGAAAAATACGGCAACCAACCAGGGTCAGAATTTGTAATACATGCAAGATTATTTCTCACACATTAATGGCCAGCAGTTCAAAACACTTCAGATTCGACTCTTTCAGTGCTAGACATTAAAGGCAGTGATTGCAGAGAACACGGCAGACACTGAAAACCCCAAGAGGGGTACAGCAGGACTGTCAGGACCACAGAAACCAAGTGTCTCACACTGCATACAGCTGCATCAGGCACAAACTTTAGGGTTTTGGCAGCAGGTGGCTGCAGGGGTGACTGTGGGAAGAGGTGAGGAACTGCCCTGCACCACTCCAAATCTGTTCCAACATGTTCTGAAATCCTAAACAACCCATTAGACCAAAACGGCAATAAATCAGAGGAGCACATGGTGCCTCTGCTCAGACCTACTTGAGAACCGGCAGCATCTGTCAGGAGACACGATCTGGGAAGGAGGAGCTCCACGCCAGCATAGGGACCATCTTTTGAGCAAGTTAAAAACAGACACCAGACTTCAGAAATTGTTAAATGAGGCTGACCAGACTTAAAAAAATAAACTTTCTCTTCACGTTTTGAAAATGGAGTTTACTTCTTATGTGCTTATCATGACTGGAAAGGCTGAGTGTCACTAACATGAAAACAGTCAGTATCTCTGCCTTAAAGAATAGTTTAATTAATAAAGAATTATATTTCACAGAAAACAACTCGAACAAAAGCAAGGATTAAACAGAAACAGATCTACATCGAAGGAAGGCTTCCAGCACATTGGTTGCAGCAAGAGGAAAAGTGAATGATTTGCAGCTGGTCACCTGCTGTAACTTTCTCAAAATGCATCTTAGATCACTTATTTATGATAAACCAACCATTAATACAGACATGCAGGCAAAGAAAAAAAACAATTCACATTTTTGTTTTGGTGTGCTTTCAATAAAATTTCAGGTGTGGTTTTTTTTTTTAAACTTAAAACATTAGAAGATACTGCTTTGAAGTATCTTGTTACAAATTTCCCAGAACCGAGTTAAAGTCCATAGATCATCAATGAGTTCAAAACCAGTACACATTTAAAACATTTGCTAACTTTGGTGACCAGCACATGCACTTCAGCAATGTAGACTGCTGCTTTGCCCTCTTTCAAACATGTACAGTGGAAAAGTATCTCATTACAAGAAAAGAAAGGCCAAAAGACGGTTTCATAATAGCAACAGATAAAAAAATCTAACAAGAATACTTCCTGTGCTGAGTAGCAGCTGGCAACTCCTCACCAGCCTCAACTTCCTACAGCCCTCGGCTTCCCCACATGTCTAAACTGTAATTCTTTTGAATGTTAGTTTTAAGCCCAACTGGAAGACAGTATTTGGTAGTCCCTCTAAAAACAGGGGGGGAACAGTTACAGGCAGGCATGGTAGTTATATGAATCTTTAATTATAGTTATGTCATTACTGAAAGCTCATTTTCAGTTGCTTTTCCCCCCTTTGGTTTAACTTTATTGTAACTGCCTTCTGGACTATTTTTTTTTTAATATTACATGTTTTTAATCAGACTCAAACCAGTCTGAGAAAATTAAATAGCACTAAATATAGGTAATATTATTGTACAAGAATAAAGTTGCAGAACACTAGCAATAAGAAAACAAAAGTATCTTTTTCCTAACAACAGTGAGAGTCTCCTCACCTGCAGAGGTGACCTCTATGAACAGAGGTAAACACAAGCCCACAACCACTTGTACTACCGGCATCTAGGAACGATCCTTGTCTTTGGGAGAATGACCTGGTTTTTCCCTCTTTGTCTAAGAAAGGACTTACTATATGA